TTTTTGTAAATTATTTAGATGCATTTTTTTTCTTTGCCATTTAATCAGTTAATTATTTGATATATAATCAATATAACGAATGATTTATTGTTTTAAATTTAATACATTTTGACTATTTTATATATTTCAATTTATTTATTTGATTATTTTATTTCTGTATTTTCGTTGTTTCACTGATTCTTCATTCACGTTGTTTGTTTATTAAAACCATTATTCATTTGATTTAATTTATTATGAATCGAAGTATTAATACTATCTTTCTTTTCTTATTACAATTTATTTCCATTAGTCCATTCTTCTTTATTCTTATTATCTGTTATTTCTTTATTTATTTCATTTATTCTATATTTCATTTTCTTATTTTATCTTTTTTATTCATTTTCTCTGTATAATGTCTTCTCTTTCATTTCTTCGGTTTCTTTCGTACTTCTTTATCATTTTTATTTCAATTTACCTTTGCCTAGTTTTCTTCTTTTATTAACTTTCTTGAATATATTCTATCTTCTTTTCTATATTTTTATTTTATACTTATCTTATTTCTTTTGTCTCTCATCGCTTGTTTATTATTTATATTCTTCTGTTTTTTTTTTCATTTCTAAACATTAACATTCTTTCTCTATTTCAATACATTATTCTTTTGTTATCATCAATTTTTTACTATTCTTTTTCCATTATATTTGTCATTTATTTGTCTCTTCTGTTTCTTGACTTTATTAACCATTAAATGAGAATATACCATTTTAATCATCAATACTCTTAAATGTTTTTGTGTCATTGTTAAATATATAATCAATTATTCTTTCAATAATGTCATTCTTCAATTTTGATAATTATTTAAATGTTATTTGTTATTATTATAACTGTATATTAATGTTTTTACATAATAACTTTCCTCTCTCAATCTTATTTGAAAGTATTAAAAAACAAAAATCGTAATATATTAATTTTCGTTTTTAAAAACATAATTTTTATTTCAAAAGAAAAATATAAAAAAATATTGCACAAATCTAAAAAATAAAAAAGGATAAAGGATGTCTAAAAGAAGTATTAAAACCAAAAAAGAAAGAGAAGACTCACTGAAAAAAGAAGAAGAAGAGAAAGAAAAAGATTTTCTTGAGAAGCAAAAGAGTTATTTTGAAGATTTAGACACCTTCATTCTTGAAGAAGACATAGATACAGGAGATAAAGATACAGAAAAATCAAATAATCAAGAAGAAGATCTTGACATGATTAGCAAAATTGAGAGTAACAATGAACAAGATGAAAAGCCAACTATGAAAAATGATACAACAGAAAAGAAAGAAAATAATGAGAATGAATTAACAAATGAAGAAGAACAAATAGAACATTACTCAAGAAAGAGAATAAAAGAAAGTTCACTTTCATCTGAACCAAAACGATGTTTTGATTGAGTTTATTTATTGAATAAATTTGAAGCCTTAGTTATAAGTGGTTTGGTTCATTGGATTAGGTGGGACAAAGGTATGAAAAATAACTTATTATTTTTGTTATTTCAATCTTGATAAATGACTATGATTTATTCATTTTAGATTTAAAGTAGTTCTTTTCAACCACAAGTTAATGTAATGCCTTTGTTCGTGTTGCTAATTTACTTTACTATCAAAGTTAATAGCATTGTTTATTAAAATTTTTTAGCAATTTATTACGTTTGTTGTATTTAAATTGCTAAAACTAATTCTCTTTCATTAAATTGAATGAACTTATTCAAACCAATTGTTTAAATAAAAATAAATAAGTTGTAACAATAGAAACTATTTAGCTAAACCTTTATTTTTTCTGTAAAAGAATAAAACAAATTAAAGGTAATTGTTTTATGAATGTCAAGATGTTTGATTTTGGGACTACTCAAGACGTTTAAAAGTATATATTGTTATGTTTTTAAAATTTATAGAAGTATTTATTCTTATAAACTATAATGCTTGAGCTTATGTGTTGAGAGTTTGTATTAAAAATAAAAAAGTGTTGAGTTAAGTGAAGAGTATTCTATTAATTTAACAACGAACAACCACTAATAATTAAATCATGAATAATCTGCTAATATTGAATAACAAATAAAATAACAAAAATATAAAATAGTTTTTTTGTGATATTAATCTTTAAACTTTCAAAAATTAAAAGAAACCTCAAAAAAAAAAAAAAAGAAATGTTAAATAAAATTAATACTTATTTAAAACTTAAAAATATTTTTGAGATCTTATGGAGAGTAAACAATTACCAATTCAAATAATTATCCGTGAAGGACTTCTTACTCAAATACTACAATATTTGCCAATCGATGATGTGGTTAATTTTAGTGAGGCATATCCAAGATTGAATTCTGATTATTTTGCATCTTATCTTTTCTGTAAACAACATAAACTTTCAGTTTGTTTGTTTTAAAGACATATCCAACGAGCAAATACTTAAATTTTAGGGGTCAATTTCTAAGCACTTGTCATTAAGAAATAGGTCATGGAAAACGTTATGCTCATTGAAAGTTGAACTTAACACGGATAATAAGTTTATTCCTAATGTTCATTCTAATAGATTTGGATTAAGCATTGAAGGTAATGTTATTATCAATACAAATACAACAAATGATAGAAGAAATACTGTCATTGCAAAAAACCCATTTTCACTTGAAAATCGTTGGTTTACATTTCCTACTTTATTACACCAATACACCATTTTACAAACACCAATCTTTTATTATGAAGTAACAATCTTACCAACTCCTTCAACACATGAAGTAGAAGAATTTGTTGTTTCTATTGGTCTTGTTAATGAAAGAACATACCCTGAAGATAGACAAGTTGGATGGGAAGATGGAGGAATAGGAGTTCATTCAGATGATGGTAAATTATTCAATCAAAATGGGACTGGAGTTAATTTTACAGAACCGTTTAATTCAGGAGAGACTCTTGGGGTTGGTTTTATACCAAGAAGTTATCAAGTTTTCTTTACAAAGAATGGTAAAAAGATTAAAAATTCAATTACCGTAAAGTATCAAAAAATGTATCCTGCATTAGGATTTTCTACTGCCTATGCCGTTGAAGTTAATTTTGGTCACAAACCATTTATATTTGATTTGTTAGAAGAAATTGACAAAATATAAAATGAATTTTGATATTTTACAATTATTTTGTTTTATATAACACTTTAAATAAAAAATTGAGGAAATCTAATAAAATAACTTGAAAAGAAACAAAAGAAGTTTAATGAGTGAAAAACTTATATTTACACGATCTAACCAAACAGAAATTAATGGATTAAAAAAACAAAACGAAGAACTTAAAAAGAAATGTCAAGAATATGTTGAAATTATGAAAGGATTATTAGAAGAAGTTGAACGATATAAAAATGATAAAGAATTAATTAAATTGAAAGAAGAGAATGAATCATTAAAAAAAGAAATTCAAATAACAAAAGAGTCATGGATGAATGATATTAATAAAAGAATGGAAGAAAAAACAGAATTAGAAAAGAAAAATGAAGAATTACAAGAAGTAATTTGTGAGATTAATAAAAGAAAAGAAGAAGAAACGAATATGTCACAACTCATAGATAAAATGAAAATATTATATAAAAATTATGTTGATGTTGCATATGCATTAAATCCTGCTTATAAAGAGTCAACAGGAAATCCAATGAGACTTTCATTAGGAAATACAGAATTATCAATTTCAGAAATTAAAAGAAAAGAAGAGACTATAAATGATATTCCATTAGTACATGATTCGACATATATTTCTAATGGATCTACACCATTTGAAGAATTATCATTTTATAGAAATGATATTAAAATAAAAGAAGAAAAAGAGATAAGTCCAGTAAAAAATAATATTAGTATTATTGGAATTGAAGATAATGAAGAAAATAAATTAAAAAATAATATTAATGAAGAAGATGAAGAAAAAAAAGTATTAGAATTAAATAATCAAGAAAAAAAACCAATTCAAAGAACTAAAACTCATCCAAAATCTTTAAGTAAAAAACAAAGTATTGTTACAATTCATTCATTAAATCATAATGACATAAATGATACTTTTCAAACTACTTTTGTATCTGATAATTCTTCTAGTATAAATATATTAAAAAAGTCTAATGTTATTTGTTTTACTGGAATTAATGATAATTCTAAATCAAAATATATTTCAGAAGTTCAAAGAAAAGGTGGTATTTTTTCTAATTGTTTAGATGAACATGTAACACATTTAATTGCTTATAAAAAAATTACTAAAAGTTGTATTGTAGCATTATTAAGAGGTATATGGATAATGCCAATTGAATGGCTTTTTTCTAAAGGAGATTATTTTGAAAATGAAGAATTATATGTGAGTAAAAAAGAAAGTGGTTTGGAAGGAAAAAAGATTTATTTTTCTAAGATTTTTGAATTAAAAAAAGTAAATGTTGAAGTAAAAGAACTTATTATTGAAGTTTGTTGTTATTTATTATTCATTCATAAAAATATTAAAATAACTTACAAAAAATAGGAAGGTAAAATAATTGTTGTAGATGAAATTTCTAAATGTGATATAGCTTTAATTGGTGAAAAAGAAAATAAACCCATTGACTATAGAGATAAGGCTTTTACTTTTCATGAATTTCTGAGAAAATTACCTTTTCCTTCTTTTGTTTGTTTATTTATTATTCTTTTAATGGAAATATTAAAATATTAATTTATTTATAGCTCCAATAACAATAAAATAAACTTAAAACTGATTTTTATTTGTAACATAAAATTAATTTGATTATTCTTAAATATTCTTTTGATTTTTCATCTTTTGAATTTATAAATATTTAAATGTTTCTAATCTTTTCATTTATTTTCTTTTTTTATACAATTTTTTATTTATTTTTTACAATCTATAAACACTCAAACAATATGAAATAACAATTAGAAATGAGAAAATAATTCATTTGTAGAGGTTTAATGATATAATATTGATTATGAATGAAAAACATCTTTTTAATGAATTTAAAAGGTTAATTAATAGATATATCCACTATTGGATTTT